TTACAGTCGTAACCCGAGACGTTCCCCCTCAAGGGAACTCACACTGCGTCGGTAACGACACTAGGGGAACGGATACCCACTATGCCACACCAAAACATGCCTGTCCTAGTGTGAAGCTGAACCAGGCACAACTTAGGACGAGAGCACTCGTGCACCCGGCGTGGAGGGAAGGTTCAGGCTATAAAACCTGATGAAAGTATGCAGGGTGGACCACCCAGCCGCATCGCAGATCTCCTGCAACGGGATTCCTGACAGGAGGGCCCTAGAGGACGCCATGGCTCTAGTAGAGTGGGCCCTCAAAGCCACAGGTGAAGGCAAACCGCGTACCTGATAGGCCAAGGCAATAGCCTGAACAATCCAATTACTAATTGTCTGCTTGGAAGCAGGAAGTCCCTTCTTGGGTGATCCAAAGCACACCAACAACTGTTCTGACCTCCTCCAATGAGAGGACTTCTGAATAAAAATGTTCAATGCTCTGACAGGGCAGAGCAGATGAAGCCCCTCTTCTTCCGCCGACACATGAGGCGGAGGATGGAAGGCCTGAAGAACCACCGGCCGTGCCCTATTAGATGGCACCTTGGGCACATAGCCAGGCCTAGGATGTAAAATGGCCTTAACTCCTCCAGGGGCAAACTCCAGGCAAGTCGGCGAGATAGCCAAGGCCTGGAGATCCCCCACTCTCTTGAGCGAAGTAATTGCCAGGAGAAAGACCATCTTAAAGGTCAGGTTCTTTGCCGTAGCTGACTCGAGAGGCTCGAAGGGGGCAAGTGACAGCCCTTCAAGGACCACAGCCAGATCCCAAGTTGGGACTCTGGAACGAGTCGCAGGCCTCATCCTCCATGCACCACAGAGGAAACGTACGACCAGCTGATGCCTCCCCAGAGGCCCAGCACCTAAAGGAGCGTGGAAAGCCGCAATGGCAGCCACGTACACCTTTAGTGTGGATGGGGTTAAGACCAGCAGAGAAGCGATCTTGGAGGAACTCCAGCACTGAAGCCACCGGGCAGTTAACTGGGTCCAACCCACGCTCTCTACACCACGTGGAAAACACATTCCACTTTAGGCCGTACAATCTCCTCGTTGAGGGAGCCCTGGAACTGAGTATGGTCTCGATCAGTCCAGCCGACAAGCCAGCCTCTAGGTACTGAGCCCCCTCAGGGGCCAGACCCACAGTTTCCACAGCTCTGGCCGAGGGTGAAATATCTCGCCCCCTGCCTGAGACAGCAGGTCCCTCCTCAGAGGGATCTGCCACGGCTGGCCTGCCAGGAGTGACATGATATCTGAGAACCACACCCGGGCCGGCCAGAACGGGGCTACCAGCAATAGACTGACCCCTTCTTTCCGGACCCTCTCCAGAACTCCCGGGAGCAGAGCGATCTGGGGAAAAGTGTACAGGCGTAGCCTCGGCCATGTCTGTACCATGGCGTCCAACCCCAGCGGGGCTGGATGCGTGAGAGAAAACCACAGTGGACAGTGGGTCGTCTCTCGAGACGCGAACAAATCCACTTCCACTGGGCCGAACCTCTCGCATATCGACTTCACCACCTCTGGGTGAAGTCTCCATTCCCGCGCCCCAACCCGTAAGGGATGAGTCTGTCGAAACGAGCTTTCGGCGACATGACACTCCCAATACTGGGCCTCGGGACAGAAACCAAGGTTTCCTCCATATGGACAGGGCACGAAGGCATCGGCACGTGACCCTGATCATACGGAACGGATTCCCTCTCGAGGAAAACCCCTTGGTTTTCAACCACCACTGTAGGGGTCTCATGTACAGAAGGCCAAAAGGTATTACGTTGGACGCTGCTGCCATGAGCCCCAGCAGTCTTTGGAACTGCTTTACAGTGATAGCGTGGCCTAGCCCTATCCTGGAAACCATCGCCAGGATGGACTCGATACGAGCGGGAGACAATTGTGCCCGCATCGTTGTCGAGTCCCATACCACCCCCAGGAACGTTGTTCTCTGGGTGGGCAACAACACGCTCTTTCCCGTGTTGAGTCTCAACCCCAAGCTCTGAATGTGGCCAAGGACGACATCTCGATGCCGAACCGCCATCTCTCGAGACTGGGCCAGTATAAGCCAGTCGTCGATATAATTCAGCACACGGATGCCCTGAAGCCTCAGTGGCACTAGAGCTGCATCCATGCACTTGGTGAAAGTGCGAGGGGAGAGAGCTAGGCCAAACGGAAGAACCCGATATTGGAACGCTTTGCCCCCGAAAGCGAACCTCAGGAACTTCCTGTGAGAAGGAATGATAGAAACATGGAAGTATGCGTCCTTTAGATCTATCGTGACAAACCAGTCCTCGGATCTGATCTGACTCACGATGGTGGGAATAGTGAGCATCTTGAACCTGAACCTCCTCAGAGAACGATTCAAGTGCCGCAGATCTAAAATTGGACGCAACCCCCCATCCTTCTTGGGAACTATGAAATACCGGCTGTAGAACCCGGACTCCCTGTCTGGCGGAGGAACACTTTCTATGGCCTCCTTCACCAACAGGGAGTGAACTTCCTGTTCCATCACCCGACCCTGCTCGGGGTGCACCACAGTCCAGACCACCCCATTGAACTTTGGGGGGCGGTAACCGAACTGCAGCCTGTACCCTCTTTCTACTGTACGCAGGACCCATGGAGACATATTCGGAAGGCATTGCCATGCACCGATATAATCTACTAAGGGAATCAGCCTCTCGAGGCTGACCTCGGGTGTTTCTCGAGTATCGTTTACGATCCCCTGAAGCGGAACACCGGCAGGAAAAGATCGAAAACGATTTTCTATGTGCGGACGCTGTCGCTGCCAGGCCGCAAGCCCTCGGGGCGGACACTGCAGCGTGCGTTCGCCGGAAATCGATGTGGCCCGAAGCGTACTGGACGGCGGGATTCCAACAACGATTTCCTGAGGGTACCAAGGTGGAAATGTCCTTGATCACTCCTTCCCGGGGGGGGCAACCCTCAGAGGCCCTGTGAAAGCTAGGACCTCTTTCCCGTAGCCTTCCTCGCCTGAAGGACGGTCCTCAGATCGACCTTCGGCTCGGAGGGCTTCGGGCGAGAGCTTAGCCACAAATATCTCTCCGTGGCCACCATGGCTGCCATGGAGCGGCCGATAGCACGGGCCGTCTCCTTGGTAACACGGAGAGACAAATCTGCGGCTCTACGCAGCTCTGCTAAATCACCCTGAGTTGGTCCCTCGCCCTCATCTAAATCCTTTAAAAAATCAGCCTGGTATGCCTGCATAAGCGCCATTGTATGCAGGCACGCACCAGCACGACCAGCCGCCATATAAGCCCTGCCCACCAAAGATGATGTAACACGACAAGGTTTGGTGGGCAGTACCGGGGCTTTAAGGGACGACGCAACGTCAGGGGAGAGGTAGCTGGCTAAAGCCTCTTCCACCCGAGGCATCGTCCCATAACCGTACTCACGGGCTCCTAAAATGTTACTATAATCTAACACAGGAGGGTTAGACAGTCGTGCAGAGTACGGTTTATTCCATGACTTACACAACTCATTGTGTAAGTCAGGAAAAAACGGTAAACCCCGGCGTTGAGGCTGAGACCTGTGCTGTAGGAAGCGCTCATCCAATTTACTTGTGACTTGCACTTCCTGCCTTTCTTGTGGCCAGTTAATATTAAGCTTGGCCACAGCACGAGCTAACACATCGACCAGCTCCTCATGTGCGTGTGAATGCAGTGGCGAGCTCTCTGCAATCTCACCCGCCTCGATGCTGAGCACGTCTATTTCCTCAGAATCAGACAGCTCAAACATCGGGTTCTCCTCCCGTGTGGGCTTCCGCACAGGGAGTGAGAAGTTCGGAAGTGTCAGAGGAGGACTGAGAATGTGCCGCAGCAGTCTCGAGCCCTCCTGACAGATCCATCTGCGAGCCCCACGATCTAAGCCGCCGTGCCGCCTCGGCGGACGCGGGACCCGAACCGCGGGGTGCGCGAGCCTGGCCGGCCTCATCGAACACAGCCAGGCGGGAGCGCAGCACTCTGATCGGCAGTGCTTCACAGTTCGCACAGGCAGCTCCCTCGAGAGCTGCCCGTGCGTGCTGCGCTCCCAAACAATAAACACACAGCTGATGTGTGTCCCCACCCGTTAAAAACCTCGGGCAGGGATGAACACACTGCTTAAATTGTCCACACCGCTTTGTAGCTTCCGACTATGCCGTCACATGTTACGTCATGACGCAACACCAATCAGGATTGGAATAGTTTCATTCATGCTTCAGACGCGCTACGCTGAGGGGTTTCCCCTAGTGTCGTTACCGACGCAGTGTGAGTTCCCTCGAGGGGGAACTTCATATTATATTCATATTTAACAAATATTCATAACTTATGTTATTTGTTACAAATAAACCAACGGAGTGCCAAAAGTTTTCCATGGTAACTTCAGTTTCCACCAAATAAAAGTTACTACCGTTATTTTTGCTGTACTATAATAAATGAATACCTATGTCAGGAGAAGACATTGATTGAAGATGCATTGTTTGTTTGTTGTAGACTACAGACACTTTTAATGTTACAAAATATATATCTCAAATTAATGGTTCTTTTGAACTTTTTATTTATCAAAAAACTCTTTAAAAATGCATTAAGGTTTCCACAAAATATTAAGCAGCACAACTGTTTTCAACATTGATTATAATAAGAAATGTTTCTTGAGCAGCAAATCAGTATATTATAATATTTTCTGAAGGATCATGTAACTGTAATGATGCTGAAAATTCAGCTTTGCATCACAGGAATAAATTACATTCTAAAATATATTCAAATAGAAAACTGTTATTTTAAATTGTAATAATATTTCACAGTATTACTGTTTTTACTGTATTTTTGATCAAATAAATGCAGCCTTGGTAAGTATAAAAGACTTCTTTCAAAATCTTTTGAAAAATGTTATCGACTCCAATCTTCTGAATTATATTAAAGAATCTTTAGGTTTGCTGTTGCATTATGGGATTTTCATGACTCATCACGTCTCTCTTTTTGTTTCCTCTGCAGAAATGCATGAAGTTTAATGTGGAGTCTCCCATCTGGTTGTCTAAACAACGAATCCTCTGCACACTCAACCAGAGCTTGAAGGATGTGCTAAACTATGGCCTCTTTCAGCCTGCGTACAATAGCAAAGCCGGGAAGTTCCTGGATGAGCAGCGAACACTGAAAGAATACCCACTTCCCGCCATCTCTCCTGTCCCGTACCTAGAGGTGAGAGTCATACCCCCAAATCCCGCCATAATTCACACCCGGGTCTTGACTCTCAATATGTGCACCAATAAAATAAAAGCTTGGCTTGCTTACAGTGTGTTCAGCAGATCTCATTTTGGCACCCTGCCTTCCTGAGTATATCTCCATTGTTCCATCGTCTTCTGTCAGCCTGTGTGGTCAGGAATACTCTGATTGTCATTTCACCTGATTTATCATTCCAATTTTGACTTTTGGAGTCTGTGGAGAAAAGAGCATTCGAGAGAGAGAGCAAACAAGCGTCGGCTTCTGAAAAATGGCCTCTCCATATTTCTGCTATGAGCAGATAAATGACAGAAAGAAATCATTGCCTTTATGCAGTTAGGCTCGTTCTGAATGTGTTGCTGAATTTGGAGCGGTACTAAATTTATTATGAATGTCTCCTAGGTGCCATAAACCATGACAAGCATGAATTAATGTCTCAACCTGTTTGCCATCAGTTAAAGACACACATCTATATTAGCCTCTAAATATGTTTGACTCTGTTATAGACTTACGGACATAACCTACAAATCCTGCAATCAGCCGGCACAACACTGAGTCCTATCTATCTATCTATCTATCTATATGTCTGTCGCTCTCTCTGTCTGTCTGTCTGTCGCTCTCTCTCTGTCTGTCTATCTATCTATCTATCTATCGTTCTATCATTTGTTCTATAATATCGTTTTACAATCAAGTAAGTTTACAGTGTATTTACAAAATCACAGCCAATCAGAACACATTTGATGTTTATTATTCAATGTATTGGATATTTTGGACCATTGAGATTTCTCTGTGGGTGTGGCTATAGAAAATATAAACCAAAAGACCAACAAAACTTGTTGCATGTCACTCAACATTGCTGGTTAGAACATGAGGCTCACAAAAAAAACCTGTATACATGAAGATCATTAAAGGGGTCATATGATGCTATTTTAAAGATCATTATTTTGTGTATTTGGTGTAACAGAATATGTTGACATGCTTTAATGTTCAAAAAACACATTATTTTTCAAATACTGTACATTATTGTAGTTCCTCTATGCCCCGCCTCTCTCAAATGCGTCGTTTTCTACAAAACCCCTCCTTCCGACAAGCACAGTCTGCTCTGATTGGCCAGCTGACCCAGTACATTGTGATTGGCCAGCTGACCCAGTACATTGTGATTGGCCGAACTCACCACAGGATCCGTCTGCTGCACTACGCGTCTCTCTGGCTGTGGGCAGTAGCAGTACTGCAAGCACAAGCACGCGTCGGAAATGCAACGCCCCTTTCCATAATCGCGAGCTTCAGCTTTCAACATAAATGTAAAGACAGTACATAATGTCCTTAGTTTTACCATCAGTTCAAGCCTGAAAGGGGAACAGAGTCGCGTGACAGACACAGTGATGATGCTCGTTTGTATTTGCGGTACACAAGCCGGGATTAAGAAAGCTTACTCCACTGTGATGTGACCCTGTCTCTCTCTCATGCACTCACGCACGCACACACACACACACAACGCGATACACAGCCGCAAAACTCCGCATTTGAACAGTCAATAGCAAATATTTAAACTGTTAAGAAAACATACTTACAGTAGCTGATTCAAAATAAGCGCCAGATTGTCATAGCAAAGTCGGAATTGACCCTTTTTCTAGGTTCACGAAACGGTCGTCCATAAAATGCATTGCTGTTCTGTTGTAACTAATCTTAAAGATTCCTAAATGCATCTACTTCCGGAAGGCCAAATAAAGTGCTTTTGCTTTCGCACTGAAACACACACCATCTCCCTGACATGGCTGCATCAACACTAACTGCGGTTACTGAAACCACGCCTTCTTTCTTTGCATGCACATTTGGGCAGCATTATGCAAATATTTCCACATAGTGACATAGATATGTGGGGGCGTGTTAGAACAAGCCGTTTTAGGGGGGCGTGGCAGAGTCTTAACTTTGATAAAGAATATCTCTTTGGTTTTGAGACCTTAGTCTTTGCAACTTCAGGGATCTTATCTATGCACAATCAGCTTGTAACACTCCAAAGAGAAAGGAAAACTTGAAATCACATCATATGACCCCTTAAATGTTCAAAAAACACATTATTTTTCAAATACTGTACATTATTGTAGGTCCTATCCCTCCTTCCGACAAGTGCAGTCTGCTCTGATTGGCCAGCTGACCCAGTGCATTGTGATTGGCCGAACACCGCAAGCACTCGTCGAAAATGTAACGCCCCTTACCATAATCGCGAGCTTCATCTTTCAAAATAAATGTAAAGACAGAGCCCGAAAGGGGAACAGAGTCGCGTGACAGACACAGTAATGATGCAGTACACAAGCCGCAGTTAAGACAGCTGACTCCACTATGAGTGACCCTGTCTCTCTCTCTCTCTCTCTCACACACACACACACACGATGCGCAAAACTCCGCATTTGAACAGTCAATAGCAAATACTTAAACTAATAACAAAACAGTAGCTGATTCAGAAGCGCCAGACTGTCATAGCAAAGTCAGAATTACCTCCTCACCTAGGTTCACGAAACGGTCGTCCATAAAATGCATTGCTGTTCTGTTGTAAGTAATCTTAAAGATTCCTAAATGCATCTACTTTCGGAAGGCCAAATAAAGTGCTTTTGCTTTCGCCTAGAAACACACAACGTCTCCCTGACATGGCTGCTTCAACACTAACTGCGGTTACTGAAACCACGCCTTCTTTCTTTGCGTGCACATTTGGGCGCATTATGCAAATATTCCCACATAGGGACCTAGATATGTGGGGGCGTGACACAGTGTCTCCCTGACATGGCTGCATCAACACTACTGCTGTTCCTGAAACCACGCCTTCTTTCTTTGCATGAACATTTGGGCGGCATTATGCAAATATTTCCACATCGTGATGTAGAGATGTGGGGGATTGTTTGAATGAGGCGTTTTAGCCCGGTCTGGATCAGCCTTCTCTTTTAGGTAGAATAAATCCTTTTGTGGGAGACTTTGAGCTTTGTAACTCTGCAAATCTTATACATGCACAAATAGCTACATACACTAAAGAAAAGGAAAAATAGAAATCGCATCATATGACCCCTTTAAATGATAAATGTTTAAATGGTGAATGTACAGTACAACTCTATATGCAGTATCTAGACCCAGTGTCTGATAATAGCGAAACTGAAACTTGAGCGATATACCACGTGTGTGAGAGAACAGAAGGAGATGCGTGTTTGTGTGTGTTTTATAATTCCCCAAAGCAACCCGCTGCACGTGAACAGTCCACAGTCATTTATTTTGCTCACATTGCTCCTGGCTAAGTGTTGGCACGCTTCATACAGCTCAGACCCATCCTGGTAGTTCAGGCAACATCACTGCACAGCAGACGGTCCATCGACACACTAGCAGGTTTATAGATCCGCCACACACTGGCCTGACAAACCCAACTCCCATAGTGAACAGATCACGCCTGGGTTTGCTAGATAGACTCATAGATAGACAGATACAGCACACAGTAACAAAGAGATGTGAATGGCCAGATCTCAGTGGAGGAGAGGGAGCTGTGGGCGTCCGCGAGGCCCTGCCCTCTTCACGGACACATGGTTTTGTGTACAGCGCTCACTTCTGCAGCTCCAAGTCATGGCTGTTTCGTGATGTTTTGCAGTATAGTGTTGTAGTGGGTGTCATGTTTTGGGATTGATGGCGCTGAGGTGCAGGACAGAGGAATTCTGGGTAGTGCTGAGAATTGTAGTGTCGGCTCCCTTGTACTGCTACTGCCCACAGCCAGAGAGATGCGTAGTGCAGCAGACGGATCCTGTGGTGAGTTCTGAGCATGTACGATCTATTCACCCTCGTTGTTTGTGAGCTTTTGACTTGTTTTCTGTTTGATAATGACATTTTGACTCGGTTGTTTCTGAGGCGTTTGTTAATGGCCTTGAGTTTGACAGCGATACATTACTTTGAGTTTCCAGTCTGCCTCTGAGTTTCTTCAACTTTGCTGTTGTTGTCATGGTTGAAAAGTTTTTTTCTTTTTTTCCTCAACTTAGAACTCAAGAAGAGTTATTGTCTCATCAGTTTTCTTGGTATTTAAAGCAATAGTTCAAATAAAAATGAAAATTCTGTCATTAATTCCTCACCCTCAAACCTCAAACAAAGTTAATGACATAGAGATTGAAATTGAAGTCATTATTCAGTGAAATCCAGACATATGTCTGAGCTCTCCTCGGCACAATAATGAGAGTTAATGAAAGAAGTAGAGCAGTGAATAATGACTTAAATTTTGGTTTGCTCCTAGCACAGCTAGTATATGGCTTCAAAAGGTAGGGAAATATAGCGTATAAATTGTAAGGTCTACTTTTATGGTGCTTTTGCGTCCTTTTTGAAGCCTGAAAACTCTGGTCTCCATTCATTGCAATAGCACGGAAAAGAAAGAAAAAAGTTATACAGGTTAGCAATGACATAAGGGTGAGGAAATGATGACAGACTTACACATTTATGGGTGAACTATCCCTTTAAAGGGTTAGTTCACCCAAATGAAGTGTGTAATTGTTTTGATGTTTTTGAAAATACTTTCTTCTAATTAAATTTATGATGCAGAGACAACTGTGATACTGATTTCATATTTTCAGATATTTTATATTGGTGCATTCCAGCTTTTGAGATTTGTTGTATTTTTTTTTTCTTGGATGTTCCATACAAGTGTCAGTGTTTGATATGAGTATATTCTTCTGAAATCATGCTATAGGTTTGTGTGAGGAACTTTAGGTCTGAAATTTGAACTGAAATTTATGTCATTATTCTGACAATTTTGAAAATGTTGTCCATTTTTGCCTGAACTTGACCTTTTCTGTACCCACATCGGGAAATCTGATTCAAAAATATTCAAAAATCTGATTCACTTCTCTTTTGTCAGTTAGACCAGTGTTTCCCAACCTTTTTTTAGTCGCGGCACCCTTTGAAAATTTTAACAAAGTTGTGGCACCCTACAAAATTAATTTTGTCACAATATTTGAATTTCTAACTTCGATATGATCATTTGAAAAGTATAGATATTTGGTACAACAGGGAAGAACTGCAGAATATAATGTCATACAGATATTTTTAATATTATAAAAAAAAATTGTCCATCAATGGTGGCAATCAGTAGGCTAATTTCTAATGAAAAGACCAATTTCAGAAATGGATATTATATAATAGATGCTTTTTTGAACATTTTAGCAATTTAAAAATATTCAAAAATGATTTTTTACACGGCACCCCTGCTCTCGACAGACGGCACCCCGGTTGGGAAACACTGAGTTAGACAATATAAGAATCATTTATTCATTTTTATGCTGCTATTGTAATTTTTTTCTAACTAAAAGTGTCCACGTGTTTCAAAAGACTCCCGTTGTCTTGTTCCTCATGCAGGTCCGCTTGTTTGCGTCGTGTTTTTTTTGACTGAATGTGCAGTTTGTTGATTCACAGCTGGTTCTCTGTTAAAGGACTGTGTGATCCTGAGCGCAGCTGTACTGTAGATGTGCAGATGTTTTAGCAGCTCACAGTTATGATTCCAGCAGTTCACACTCAAACAGAGTTTCCCTCCACTTCAAAGTTATAGCAAACATGACAATCACTGAAGAATGTTAGCATGTGCTCTTTAATGAAGACTAAAGTTGTGATATCCATAGTGATGTATGTAAACCTAATCAATGCCGTGTTTTTGGTTTTGGCAGTTTCGCTACAAGAGGCGAGTGTACACACAATCTCACCTGGATGAAAAACAGCTGTCGAAGCTTCACACTAAGGTAAGACAGGAGCGTTAGCATCTTCCTGTACCCACAATGCATCTGGATGATCTGCTTTCACTATACTATAGACACATTTTTTAAGAGTTCAGTGGCTGCTAAAGTTTCTCGATGTCATGATTCAGGTATACATTAAGGTGGTGAAACATGGTCCATGTTACTTTTCTCAGCGCTGGACCAATCAGGTATTACATGATGGGGATTCTACATAATGGGAGATTACTGGCAAATTGTAATTTGTTCTTGATGATAGGGATCATTTTATAGTGATTTATGTGGCAAATTTTAATGTGTTCTTCAGGACGAAATCATTCCAATTAATACATTTTAAAAGTTATGCTTTTTATTTGTGCCACTGTCGCAGTCGAGTGTTTATTGTCTTTGTTTTATCATTCAAAACGTTTATATGTTCTGTTTACTCAGTTACCGATATAATAGCGGTGCCTTTGTCCATATAAGGGATTTCCTGGAGGGTCATGAGTTCTCTACTTCTGTGACTGGATATGTGAATGTTCTGTGCGAGGGCGCCCTCTGGCGTCCAGTATGAATGAAACAGACATCATGTGGTTATTGTGCTAATGGCCAGTCCATCATTTTTTGGAGGAATTTTTATTTATTTATTTATTTATTTTTTAATAAGTATCGGTTTAGGCACTGGAACCGTTTTAAAAGTATTGATTTGGCACCCTATGTGCCAGTGTCTCAAATTAGACATCCTGAATGTCATTATTCAAGTTTAAATTGAAGTGATGATGTCACATGGTACCTGTTACTTTTCTCAGCGCTGGACCAATCAGTGATTACATGAAGGGGATTTTTATATCATTTTATAGAGATTACTGTGGCAAATTTTTATTTGTTCTTCAGGAAGAAATTGTTGTAATTAATAGATTTAAATGATTATGCTTTTTAGTTGTACCAGTGTCTCAAATTAAACATCCTTGATGTCATTAATCAGGTGATTGCGGTGGCAAATTAATTTTTTCTTCAGAAAGAAATCGTTGTAATTAATCGATTTTAAAAATTATGCTTTTTAGTTGTGTACCAGTGCCTTAAATTATTCAGGTTTAAATTAAGGTGACCTGTTGCTTTTCTCAGTGCTGGACCGGATTTTAATATCATTTTGTTGAGATTGCTGTGGCAATTTTTTTTTCTTTAGGAAGAAATCATTGTAATTAATAGATTTTTAAAAATATGCTTTTTATTGATACCAGTGTCTCAATTTAGACATCCTGAGATGAAAATGACAACCCTATGTAGTATTCGGTATTCTGAGAAGAAGTTTGTGCCTTGTAGAAAACGGTTATTAGCTAGTCTCATCTGCTGCCTACTGGTTCCTGGAATGCTGAAGATGTTGAGGTGTCATCGAGCTGTTTAGATAGATGATGATGATGACGACAGTAATCATGAGAAGCATGAAGCTCTGGAAGAGTTTACATGACCGTAACCTCCTCTGCTCTTCACAGATCAACAACACTTCTCATAAACACACCGTGATGCGCTGCAATTACCAGCCAGTCCAATCAACTCCCCTCTCATCATGTTAATGCTGCTGTTTTTGGCCTGTCTGGCCTCCATGAATGAGATCTCCTCTCATCTCTCCTGGAGAGTCAGAGTTCTGGCCTAAATCAAAATGAGCCATTAGCGCAATAAATGGAAATCAATGTTGGCTTCGTACCAATTTCGGCATCATGATGTCAGCTTGAATCCTCTATACCATTCAATTAGACGAGAGCCTTTCTTTAGATGACGGCGATAATACCACACGTCTGACAGCGTCAGTGTGACCCTGTGTGACCGCATTACTGCAGTGAATGAAATGAAAAAGTCATAATCAATGAATAATCCACACTAGTGCTTATTAAAGAGGGTTAGTTCCCGCTAAAATTATATTAATTATAATTATATTAAAAATATTTTCTCCATTTTTGGAAGAAACTTTCCTTTAAGGCTTGATTTGGATACAGTTATTTGATTCTAATTCATTTTAAGCAAATTGATTCATTTGGATGGTACATTTTAAGGAACCTGTTCAAATTATTTTGTCATGTGAAAGAAAGTCATTTTAATAGTACAATTATGGTTTTCTTTTTATTTATATAATTTTTTATTTATACAAAAAAATTATACAAATTGTCCTGTTCTTCCTGAGAAAAATGGATGTTAGCTGTGAGATTTTTATATGGTTAGAAAAATTATTCTTATATAGATACACACACACACACACACACACACACA